ATTTTTTTTTAAACTGGTGAAAAGAAATCCACATCATAAGAATATAGTATATGGGGAACCAGTTAGAGATAGAAAACAGAAGCAGAACATAGTATGACCTGAGAGGCGCAGAGAAGCCACTGATTCTTATTCAGGGTGTGCAGAATTCCCCCTGGTTTATTTGGTCACTTTTATGGGGATACAATTATTCTGTCACATATGAATGCTAAGGTTACAAGTCACCCTGTGTTAGGGACATTACCATGCTAAAATGAAGAATTATAATATCAGGAATTATCTCTCATGGCTCATTGTACCACAACTGCCCAAAAGCTAAGCATCTTTTTTTAGTAACTGTTCTTTAAGAGTTTTGTTGTTGTTGTTGCTGTTCATCATTAACTATATGTGATTAGTAACACAGGGATATCTGGACTTTAATCTTGAATTACAGATGTATTTTTTTACATGAAAAGTGCTATTTCAAGAAAAATATATGGGTATAACTAAACATCATTTTGTTACAATGTGCATTAATTCCTGGTATCAGTTTAATGACCCTTGGTGTTAAATCTACAGTCATATGCAGTATGTTATCTTTATGTGGCTGAATTGAATGCACTACTCTATTCACAGCTGTGCCATCCCCAACTGGAAATAAATAAGCAAGGCATGATTCTGCAAACTGTTTGCTACTGTAATCCAGGGACTACGCTTTAAAATGAAAGCAGAAAGTACATGTCCTATTAAATAGGTTTATCTGAGTCAGTTATAAAGCGTCTATCTTTTTCATGTTTTCTTCAAAAGGGAAAGGTAAAGTGAACAGTACACTTAAAAGTATAGTATCAAATATACAAATTCTTTTCAGACAGAATTCCCTTCTCTTGGAAACAGGGCACATGAGATGTACAGGTAATAAATAGCTTTACATCAGAAGGTAAGAGATTTGGTACAAATCGTTCCAGGCCAGCTAAATAGTAACAGGGCACGTAAGGAAAGAACATGTTACAAGCACTGAAGATGCTACATGATTGAAACGAACAAGTCCTCTTGGCAAAATAATTTGGCAGGTATTTACAGTTCAGAAGAATAAAACGTCAAACTGTAAGGCATGAGATATTTCTTGGCAGACCACGCTTTGACACCTTCCTTCTGTTCAGTTAGGTACACGGTGGCTGGACATATTCGGGCACTTTTGTTTTTTCTTGTGACTCATTAATTTTTCAGAATGATACTCATTTGCAACGCAATTTGGTCACCAAGTATGCTATGCTCAGAAAGAGCCACACAATCAGTAAATTGGGGCTCAGAGCTAATAAAGGAATGGAACAGAGGAGGCTGGGGTCTAGCCTTAAGTCTCGGATGGGCACCAGGCCGCTCAAGTTCTTCTGGGTGACTACCTCCCGTGTTCCAATGCTGTGAAAAGGAAAAAGTGCAGGAGAAAGGAATAGAAAAAGGAAAGGAAAGAAAGAAAAAAGAGACATGCGGTGGATTTTTTTCCAAAAGTATGGAGAAAATAGAAGAGAACCAAAAGATAAGATTTAAAAAAAAAATGGAATGAAGCCACAAAAGAAAGAAAAAATGGTATGCAGAGAAGGGTGTGAAAGAAGATGAAAACAAAACCAGCACAGTCACAGGAAAAAAAAGGAGAGAAAGAGAAGTGAAAATAAGAAAAAATACTGCAGTCCACTGCAAATAAACACATGTAGGTTGGAGAATGGTTTTCCATGTTCACTGTCTCTCAGCTGGCCAAGCAGAGCCCCACGCCGCCCACCGGCCCCACATGCTACAGCCGGGCGTCTCAGAGAAGCAAGCTGAACATGAAGAACCATGGGTTTGACCTTCTCACAGATGCCCAGGCGGGGCTGCCACACTGAGGTGGCTGAGCTGCCTCTTGATTCACCTCACAAACAAAAACCATTTACCCCAGGGACCAGGCTGGTGCAGAGCCCTCGCTGGATGGCTGTGGGCCTCAGGCTGAGCAGTGGCAGTGCCTGAGCAATGGTGTCCCCAGCAAAATGCTGTTTTCTAGGGTGGCCCCACAATCCCACACTGAGCATTCAGGCTTTCTCCCTCTTTGGGCACTAAATGTCCTGGGGCTGGGTGCACTCAGAGGCACGGCCTGTGGTGAGGTGAGCACATACAAGGTCCCAAATTCAGTCCCCAGTACCTTCTCACTCAAAAAAAAAAAAAAGGAAAGGCAGAAAGAAATGCACTGAGATGGTCCCCGGTACCACCTGACTCTGTAGCCTCATCTATGTTCACAGGTAGTGACAACATGCAGAGGTTACAGGACTCCCAGGTCCCAGAAGGCTATGAAGGACCCACTGGAGATGGGCAGGCAGGAGGGCCAGGGAACCTAGGAGCCCTGGGTGGGCGGCCCTGCTGGTCTGTTGAGAAGGGACACCTTCCAAGCTGGTACCCCGTGTTGTGGAGTTGGCGCACATGGCCTGTCCCACATGGTGGTGGTGCCACCCTGGGGTCTGGGAATGAGCCCTTGTCAGAGCTATGTAAGCCCCAGAAATTGCCAACTGCTACAGATCAGGGCTTTTTTGGAGCAAGCTGGTTGCTAAACATTCATAGCCACTGCTTGCCTGTGCCTCCAGGAGCTGGAGTGTCAGCTTTGCCCTACCCTGTGCCGCCTGCCTGCTCTGTTTTCCACCTGGTGAGATGAAGGTTGAGAAAGCAAGGGAACCACAAGGTCTTTCTGCACTCAAGGACGGGCGACACTCATGCTGCCTCCTCAGGGGCCTCAGGGGACTGCAGGTGCTGGCTGCTGCAGATTAAGGATCTGTCTTCTCCATCAAGCATGGAAGTCTGGTAGAGGGTGATCTGCTAATTTATGTTAAAATGGCGACAAAGCCTGACAAAAGAGTATGCTTTGTAACCTAAGAAATCAATTTGGCAGATGTAGGTAGGAAAATATCTAAGGATATTAACTTACCACTAATTAAAATGCTCAAAAATCATACGCCACTTTGATACTCAACAAAATAGTTAGAAAAAGTATGATGTGTTAAAAATAGTGGCTGGGGATTTAGCTCAGTGGTTCCACTGACCGCCTTGCAAGCACAAGGACCCGAGTTCGATCCCCGGTACCAAAGAAAAAAAAAATCTGTGAAAATAATAAGGCCTGTATTTATTAGCCTAAAACACTCAAAATAGCTAAATTGAAAAAAGTAGGCTAAAACAATGGTAAAATGGTACCTATAATTATATCTCTGTGTGTGTGTGTGTGTGTGTGTGCGTGTGTGTGTGTGTGTGTGTGTGTGTGTTTTGTATGTTACTCAGGCACTGGTTAACCAATGTGGGGATGACTAAGTATGGTATGTACATGCCTTTGAAAGAATATGTGCAGTGTTAATATGGCTCTGTAATTGCAGGAACAGAGGATTCATCGGCAAAGAGGTGCATGTATGTTTTAAAGAAGAGAGAGGGAGGGAGGGAGAAAGGAGAGAGAACAACTAGTATAGGAGCTTATCTGTATTTTCCAGTTTTCCCACTCGAAACATCAATTACTTATGTGATTAAAGTGATAAAGAGTGTTGTGTGTGTTGTTATCATTGCAATAGCTATTCTGGGCTGGGAATGCAGCTCAGTGGTACAGTGTGTGCTTAACACGCTTGAGGCCCTGGGTTCCATCCCCAATACAAAACAAACACCTCAAACAAAGCAAACAAAATCCATCCCCCAAAACAACAAAAAAGCTGTCCTGCACACCAAGCTGCTGTGAGCTGGAAGCAGGCAGGCGGACGGCCCGGTAGTCACATTGGGTCTCTCTCCGGAGCCACTTTAACCCTGGCTCTGAGATCCTGGGGCTTAGATGTGGTCAGAATGAGTTACTGATTTTGTTGAAACTGTTCACAAGCTCAAAGCCAGACAGAGAGCAGGAGGCCTCACTTAGGTAGGTCCTTTAATGCTGACCAGACCACGTTCAGTTTTGATCCTCACTTCCCTGACCACAAGGCCCCTCTCTCCACTGTGCAGCTTGCTGGGAACACACACGCCCACCTAAGGCCAGGGTCACAGTAGACACGAAGTCTGAAAGGCAGGACTCTTGAGGGCAGCCCTTAATGCCCAAGAGCAGGATGCTTAAGTCTCCACTGCTCAGGCCAAAGGGTTGAAGGGAGGAAGAACTTCAACAGAGAGGTTTAAATGAACTCAGAGAGACAAGGCAAGGACAGAAATGATGCCACTTTTACAAAACACTGATATCAAGAGGCAGGAGCTCACACGTCACTTTCGTGCATTACTGTGAGAAGGTCAAGTGGCAGAAACATACAGAAAGGATAAGAGAATTGAACACTTTAAAGAATTTGGTGAGAGGACAAATGATACAGACATTCAGTAGAAGTGACCGTTGGAAACGAGACTTTAACAGCATTGGTGACTACATCGAAGGAGACAGGAAAACCAGGTTTCTTATCCTTTCTTTTGGTATGTGAGGTAGGGGCTACCAGCAGTGCTTGAAACAAGCCATCAATCCACAGTGGACAGTTGGAGTTCTGGGTTTCATTCTGCAAACACGCCTGCTGCCTCAGAATCAGGACATCATTAGGGTGAGGTGGCCAGGGCACAATGACAACTATCACGAGACACCCGCTGGACACTTTGCTCATAACAGCAAACTGTGTCCTTTGCTAGAGAGGAAGCAGAGCAAACCGGTGCAACCTGCAGACGCATTTCTTCACTCAAGTTTTGAAATGCACACTTTGTGCTATGTACATCTGCTACAAAACGGCTGGTGCAGACTCGGTCCTGCCCCCAGCAGGCAGGTGGCCTAGGGACACAGGGTAGCTCCCCATTTACTGCCTGCACCCCAGCAGGTCTGCTGCTCTACATTTCAGCCCAGTCCTGCTTGGAAAGACTGCTAGCTCTCCCCTGCTTGTCAGATGCTCCCCTGAATTGGACAGGGCCAGCACTCTGATTATGCCGGGCTGGGGTGCCTGGCTCTGCCTGCACTGGCTCATCTGCAGTTTACACAGGCAGGAGAGCAGTAGTGGGGGACGGGCAGCGGCACTCACCTGCGCATGCACTCCAGGGCCTGTGTGAAGACCTGCGGGGCCATGCCATGCTCGTGCTGCAGGATCAGGCACTGCTCCAGCGTCACCGACATGGCTGTGCGGTCCTTGGCACTCTTGCAGCTGGTGAACCGGACCCCATTAAGGCGGCGGCAGATCTGCCAATGGGAAATGTGTTGAGCTTAGGAGGGGGGCTCTGCAGGGCAACAGATCCCCACAGGGCTGGTGGGGACACAGGGCAGAAACTCCACTCCCAGACCCAGCCTAGCTCTGAGTCTCTCCCCACTCTGTATCCTACTAAGCTGTAATAGAAATCAAGTCACCTACAGGCCAGTTCTAGGGGGCCCAGCAGCCAGGGAATTTACCTCCACCCCAACCATCAGTGCTCTAAGGGATGCTCTCCTCCCATGCCCAGCCTGCGTGGCATCACTCCTCCCCAACCCATATTAGCTGTAACAGCCAGAGAAGGCGAGGCTCTGGGACACTCGATGGCCAGGTGGCCTGGCACTGTTGCCACACCCACCTGCCCCCAGGGGATGCTGAGGGTTCGGTGGACAGTATGCCCATACAACATCTCTAAGTCTTGCACCTCTGAACCTATGCTTCTTCACCTTGGGATTCTGCTGAGAACACAAGTCACAGGACTAAAGGGCACCATCCCATGGCCTGGCTGTGTCACCCTCTGGACTCTGTGAAAAAGCCTTGCTTTACCTTCGAAGTTCACAAAAGCATTGTGACAGAAGCTGTCATAGCAGGCTTGTGGTGTGGTCACATGTTCAGCAATGCCCCTCGAAAATGAAATAATGTTATGAGTGCTTCTCTGCCCTGTCCCTGCCTTCCATCTTGTGGTTGGGCCCAGCTTAAAAAAGCAATGCCACATGAGACCCCAAAGCAAGAATACTTGAAAAGCAAGGCCAGTGAACCCCACTGAAGCTTCTGTCACTTGGTACTTTCAAAACATATTCTGCTATTATTAAAGACTCAGAGAGCAGCTGGGCGTGGTGGCACATGCCTGTAATCCCAGCACTCGGGAGGTTGAGGCAGGAGGAATGCTGTGAGTTGAGACCAGCCTGGTCTACACAGTGAGTTCCAGGTCAGTCTCAACTACATAGTGACACCCTGTCTCAAAAAAACCAAAAAAAAAAAAAAAAAAAAAAAAGCCAAA